AAATGTATGCAAGTATTAAAACACAAACTAAAGAAACAAAACAAAACAAATGTAGGACAGATCCTATTCTAACTTCCTCACTTTCTGAGAAGAAGAAGAGGAACTTCCTCCCCAGTGAATAAATTTTCTTTACATTTGGAGATATTGATGAAGCCAGAAAAATCAGACACATCATTCATTTAAGAACAAAAGTCCTCTTTTACCTCAACGAGTCTTCCATGCAACATAGTGACACCCATAATATACTCAGTTGAATTTTCTTCTAACCATTTAAAAACTCTCAGAGAGTACTTTAAAGACAATGGGGCAGTATACTTATAAGCAGCAGCAAACTTTATTACATTTGGATAGACAGCCAATGGATGAAGCTGATAAGATGCAAAGGGTGTCCCAGAGATTTATTAAACTGTATCATTATCATCATCATGCACCCTCAAGTAAATTATGACTTATGGTGATCCTTCTCAGGTTTTTCCAGGTAGAGAGTATTCAGAAGGGACTGTACAACTTACCCAAGGCCACACAGACTGACTCTTGACCCAGGAGGCACAGTGGGGAATCAAACCCCCAACCTCTGGCTCTGCAGCCAGATCCAGTCAGCAATAAGTCATGTGGTACTGAATATAGATTCCCTTCACTACTGCAGGCAACAGTGTTCTCAGGACCAACTACTAGAAAATAACTGTTGGAGGATGCTGTTGCATTCCTTGTCTGCTTGTGGGTTTCTTGCACTTACCTTGCTGGCCCTGTGGCAACAAAACTATAGACTAGATAGGTGTCTGGTTTGATTGCTCATTTTTCTTATCTTCTTATCTTTGGGGCTGTTCTAACATATATATGTACGTTCAAATGTAAGGTGTTCAAATATTAAAATCAAGACAGCAGAATGTTGCCTTTCATATGAAATACATTTTAATTTTTAAAAAGTTTTAAAATGTCAACAGTATAAAGCTGATATATTTCTCAGCTTTTGTTTTACAACCTTTCCTGATAAATGCATCTCTGAAACTGAAAAACTCCCAAGTTCAATTAGTATGAACAGTCAAACACGGAAAGCTTTAGGACCAAGGAGAAACTATTGAAAAGAAAAGGGAAGGAAAGAACAAAATTTCCAAAGCACAACACATAATCCGAATAAACTCTGCTTTCCAATGTAATGTTATGTGTCCAACAACAAAATGATAATGTAGGATATGTAGTCCCAACTCTGCCTAACCCCAATAAATGTTCTTGGCATAATTTGAAAAGAAATTACCTTCATTCTGTTGCGCTTGGTCCTCTTAAATTGAGCTCACAAGGGGGGAAAAGACTATCATAAATTCCCTTACCCAACCATGCTGATTATTAAGACTGCACTGGAGGAATATATTAAATGGTAGAGATAATTTTTTGTGCAAAATGAAGATAAGGAAATATATGCCCTCTATTAAATGGCCTAACCCTTGCTTCAATTCTGAAACTGCAAAATAAGAAAGGGGGAAGGGGATTCCTCTCCAACTTGGTGCACTTCATAAAGCTATACATCTAATCTCATCACTCAAAAGTAAGAACAGGAAATTGTCTGAGATTATCATTCTAATCAGCTATACTGAAGGATCATTTGATCTCAAAGAGTGCTAAACACTGGCTTTTAAAAACCAGAATATTCAGCACAGAATATTTCAGAAGACCTACAGTGTTACTGAACTTAAATATATATTTCTGCAATTACTCTCTGTGGTTTAATATCTATATTTGCAGAAATTTAATTAAGGATAAGCTCCACTATCCATTATGGAAAAACGTCAGCAAGGTCAGCTTTCAACTAGATAATAAGAAAGATGTGCCAGCACAGAGTACAAAATAATCAAACATAACCATCACAAAATAATCTTGATAATGAAGCATATCTCTAATTCCTATTGAGCTTGATAATCAAATCTATTGGGTGCAAGGAACTGACAAGTTAAAAAAAAGGGAGACAGAAGCTCATGAGACATTCATCTATCCAAAACACCTACTGTACAATGGTACAGAAAAGTAGGTCTCAAAATGCTTAGCAAAATGTACACTTCTTCATAAAAAACCTTTAACTTTTTTCCTTCATCAGTTTATTCATAGTGCTCTGCCCTTAAAATCATTTTGAGAGCAAAAAAGAAAAAAAATGAGTGAAAGAATGAAATTTAAAAAAAGAAAAATTGTCATGTGAATTTAGATCATGTGCAGAAAAGGGCTGTATGCTACCAAAGTGTGTTCATGTGTGTAGCATATCCTTGGATGAGTTTTAATTATTGCACTTAGTTTTTTATTTTGAGAACCATTTTCAGTTATTCCTTTCTGGGACAGAAAAGTAGGACATAGATTTCTTAAATAAATATATAATATATGCTGTGCAGGTTTAATCATTAATAGAGTATTCTCCCCAAGAGCAGTGGTTTAATTTTCTATCAAAGGAATATACTGCAACTATTCCCTTGTATTGGAAGGAAATACAGGTATAACCCTGGAAGGCTAAACTTGCTTTTCACTGCTTGTGACACCAGATAACATGTTTCATATGTGAACTCCTACCAACATCTTTATAATCCTTTCCTGAGTTCTGTTGTTTGAATCAGTTGGAGCATGGTGAAGTTGGGAATTAGCACATACGTGGCTTTAAAGTAATTGTTACTTTGATGGTTTTGTCTTGAACTGTGTGATATGTTGGGAGGGATCTTTTTAGAGCACTTTCTGTATTATTTGTTAAGCAAAACACAGCATATAACTAAATAAACTTTCCAAAAGGAATAAATTAATACATCTCACATATATCATGAGCGTATTACACCAGACATTCCATAATATTGTTTCCAAATTGTGTGCGGATAATGAAAGTGTGTGTGAATATGTTATGATATAATAATATTTGCTATGAACCTATCATTACCTAAATTCCTAATCCTGGGTAAATTTATGATAAATTTCATGGCACTTATCCAGTAGCATGAACAGCATGGTTTTTACAATTCAACAACAGAGACAAAAAAGACTAATAAAAATTGTGTAGAGAGTCACTTCAAGTAAAGGTGAACAAAATGTGTAACGGTAACTAGCTACCTTGTGAAACATGCCACTGGCAATCTTGAAAATTCTCCATATAATAATCTCAACCACCAAACACAAATTCTCCATATGAAGTACTTACAAACGTAAATTAACACATTGCTTCCTAAGTATGTGGTTTTTGCATCCAACTACCCCCTTCCCCACCTTTAAATGCAGTAACTCAGGGGGGAAAAAAAGACATGGAGGGTTTTAGATTAAGAAGGTTTAGGGATACACTGCAATGAAACAAACAGCCTATTCTTTCCTAATTGTATTGTGAGTTCTGTTTCCCATGTCTTCTTATGTTTCCCTCAATTAGCTACAACATTTATGATAAACAACTGTTTGGAAGATCTTTGGAAGATCCTTACAATTCCTGATGTCTTAAGGAAGCCCATAACATTCTCAAAGATCCATCACACCTGGGCCATTCCCTCTTTCCATTGTTACCATCTGGTGGGCAGTATAGGATAAATAAAACAAAGACAAATAGGTTCAAAAAGTTTCTATCCCAGAGCAGCAGCTATATTGAACTCTACTGTACAGTGCAATATTAATGTGTTGTGTGATGGGAAATTGAATGTGAAGGATGTGGATGTGGATGAGAGGGATGTGTTTTATGTGTAATGTGCTATGTTTTCATGTTATGGATGCTATGTTCTTGTGTGTTTTATCATTATGTGTACTGGAGATGGCATTTAATTTTGTTGTATGGAAGTACAATGACAATAAAGTAAATTCTATTCTATTCTATTCTATTCTATTCTATTCTATTCTATTCTATTCTATTCTATTCTATTCTAAATATTCATAAATATTTAGAACAAATTGCTTGATTTCCCTAAACTTTTCCTAAATCTAAAAAATTAGTTATTTGGATTACGTCTCATGCGGAAAAGTTTATGAGATCGTATATACAGCCAATGAAAAATCACCAGAAATCTGAATCACCACCATATACTTGGAAGCCTTCGTGCCATGGCAAGGAACAGCATTCTCCTTCGCAGATGTGAGCAGAGTGATCTTTTCGAACAGAAAAAGCCATTTAAGGCCTGCATTTGTAGAATCATAAATTCTAGATACTTTAGGCAGAGAAAAGTAGGTCTCAAAATGCTCAGCACTTTTTCATAGCATTGTAGAGTTACAGGCTAAGTGGAAACATAATAGGAGGTAGGGAAGAAACAGGGAAGTCCAAAGGTTTGGCCAGATGTTGTGGCCGTTATATCTAGCAATGGGGATGGGGATGGATAAGTAATGGTGAGTCTCTAACACAGGTACAATTTAGTGATCAGTATCTTGCCTTAGGTGAAATACAGGAATTCCTGGTGTATGTTGTATCAGGAAATGGAAGCAATCTGGTGTCTGCAAACCTAGTGCTGATTCAATCAGTCTGCAATCTCCATCTTGGAACTGAGATGAACACCAGGACTCAAAGCTACAAGATTTATCCAAGTTCCAGGACTTCACTGCTTCTTCATCTCCTTTAATTTTTCCCACCTAACTGATGAAGAGTTCTGGAGAACTTGTAACCTTAAACACTGTGTAATAATTTTAGTTGGACTAACTAACGCCATTATCTTTGCATTTGTAGTTTTTGTATTTCCCATCCAAAACGTTTCCTTCCCAAAATACTTTATGTTAGCAACCTAATAATATGAAAAATACATTGAGTCCATTGTTAGAAACATAGCAATATATTTTGTTCAACTAGCAATTAGGTATGTTCTCCATTACTCAATCAAATAATGAAAATAGCTTCCTCCAAGCATATTTTAAAAATTATCTCCTGATATTTAGTTTTAGCAAGCAGCCTGGAAATTAATGCAGCCAATTTTTAAAAGGTAGGGTGAAAGCAATATTGAATAAAGCCAAATAAATTAATCAAAGCATATGTCAATGCACATTATTATTTAAATGATAGAGAAGAAAGTACTTACCATGTATAATCAGAACATACTCTGCGCTGTTTAAGCCAATGGAATTTTCTGCTTCACATCGATATGTACCATTGTCCGTTTTATTTAGGACATTAATGATTAGCTCCCTACCATTGACAATCATTCTTTCTGGATCTGGTAATTCTCCACCATCTTTAGTCCATAATACTGGATCTGGCCTATTAGATATAAAATGATAAATGAAGATAACATTATTTTAAAGACAGGGGCAGATGATACCTTTATAGGACCTCTAAAAATTGGACAAATAGCTCGCTTTCAGTCTAAGCAAGACTTCCTCAGGCTGTGCACCATTATGCTGTGAACAGTGCAAAGGAAAAAATATACAAGACTCCCCAAAATTCTTGGCTGATGTCCATGTCTGGTTTGCTTCTCAAAGATGAGTTCAAAAATGCAAGCTGCAAACACCATTTTAAATCATTTTGACATTATTTTGTAGGAGTACAGTTATACAGGTACATGTGATGCAAACTGTGACCCTTTAAAAGGTGACAATTCAAGGCTATAAATCATTAATAGGGTATGCAGGAAGATCATCACGTACCCTTTTGAAAAATACAGAGAAAGAATAGCTACACAAAAGGTGAACACCAAGTCTTCATAATGGTCATAAAGGGAAATGAAATTACATCAGTAAAGCAATAGAAGCACAATAAAAAGAAGTGAACTGGGACAGAATTTGGGGGAATTGGGGAAAAGAATGAATCTACAAAGGTTTGATGACAATAAATAAGTCCTCTAATGGGAACTATGGAGCTCTGAAAAGCTGCAAATAGATTTAAGATGGTTAGGAAAAAGATTTTTTTCAAAAATCGCCATAACCAACATACAAGGCAAATGCATTTCTACTTTTATTGTTCAGTATGTTCAAGTCTTAGAGTGAACAGAATACAAATCTAAGGTCTGTTTTTTTCCTTCTCCAAATAAATAACGTAACAAAATGTTACATTGTCATGTTATGAATGATATATTAAATGTTAGTACCATAACATATTAAATATGAATTAAAGAAAACCATGTGAGAAACTGAAAGAAAACCCAAATGTCAACTAAAAAATCCACAGTCAAGTGTTTGTAGAAATAAATAAAACTCCAGCAACAGTTCAAATGTTTAATGTGCACAAGCATTTTCACCAACTAAATTCTCTTCACTGAAATCTTGTAAAACAGAAACACAGATCAAATATGTTACAGATATTTCAGCATGAAATACAGAATGTTTATAGCCTATTTTAATAATGCAAACGTCACCCTGGAAGATCATTGCCTGGTTGTAAAGTACAAGCAATTGCCATTTTCTCCTTTCCTGTTCTGTTTGGCCCCATTCTCTTCTCCACAGTATGTACAATGTATTATTGCTTCAAGAGAGTGCAGTAATAGATATTGTGCAACAGAGCAAATAGGCATTTCATAAGGCAACTCAAACAACGAGGGTGCTTCAAACAAAAAAATTGTAACTTTGAAGCTGGTCCTTGGATCAGCAGCACCAAATCTGGCACAGATGTAGCAGACAGTCTGCTCTTGCTCTGTGCCAAATTTGGTCTACAGGATACTCTCTTCTGCTCACTACCATTCACCCTTGTTGAAAAATAGCCCTGACAACTGCATTGTGTTTGCGTGAGAATTGTTTAACTGATGAAAAACAAGTCAGTTTCTGGGATTTTTGCTTGTGTGACGAGTCAGTTTCTGGGATTTTTGCTTGTGTGATGTCACTTCATGAGCGGTAATGAGCAGAAGAGGGTATCCTGAAGGTCTCCTTGATTGCTGCCATTGGTGTTGTCAACATTCAGGATGCCCTTTTGCATCCTTTTTCCTGCTGGCAAAGTGGGCATGATACTGTGCAGCAATATTGGCCCATTTCCTGGATTTTTTAATCCTGGGTATAGAAGCTCAATATCCCATATTCATAAACTGGAGTTTTTGTTTGTTTGTTTGTTTGTTTGTTTAAAGAACTGAATATAAACCTGTGTCCCTGGTATATTGTTATCCTTGTTTCTAAAGAAGTGGATTGTAATCCATGAAAGTTCATAGCAAAATAAAATCCATCCGTTTTACAGGTACCACAGTACTTTTAAGCGCTTGTCCTTTTGCCTTTATTTTAGAACATGATTATTACTCTATCCATTATGCATGGAAGGCCAGTGTTAGGAACAATTGGCTCACTTGAAGGCTAGCTGAATAATCACTAAAAAGTTCATAGCAAAATAGAATCCATCCGTTTTACAGTACCACAGTACTTTTAAGCGATTGTCCTTTTGCCTTTATTTTAGAACATGATTATTACTCTATCCATTATGCATAGAAGGCCAGTGTTAGGAACAATTGGCTCACAGCAAAATAAAATCCATCCGTTTTACAGGTACCACAGTACTTTTAAGCGCTTGTCCTTTTGCCTTTATTTTAGAAAATGATTATTACTCTATCCATTATGCATGGAAGGCCAGTGTTAGGAACAATTGGCTCACTTGAAGGCTAGCTGAATAATCACTAACCCAGATGAAACAATATGGAACCCAACAGATATTGGAGATGATTAAGGACTACACTTACCTTGGTCTAAGATTTGAATGTGGCATGACTAGCACTTCCCTTGATCTACCCCTTCTCCTTCCCTTTTCCCCCATCTTCCTTCCCATCTTCATCAGTAGATTAATCTTATGCCTTTTGCAACTTCCCTACAGCCAATTTTTTGAAAATTATTAATACTTTCCACAACATATTTATTATAATAATAGATTCATTTCACTGACAATATATCCAGAGTCACATCCTGGGGTTCGTGGTTGGAGTCTGAGGAAGAAAGCAATTTAAGGGCTTGTTTACATTTACTTTTGTTTTGCAATAAGCTCCTTTCTAAATGGAATTAATTCAGAACTCACGTGGTAGTTACATGGTATTGGGGTAAGTGTGTGTGTTCTCTTGAGAAAATTTTTGCATTTGAGATTTTGTCTTGCACCAATCTGCCCTGTCCTTGCTCTGGCCATTCGTCCTGCTGCTGTTGTGAGGACAGGGAAAGTCTTCCTTGCTCTGGCCATTTGTCCTGCTGCTGTTGTGAGGACAGGGAAAGAGAGAGGGAGAGAAAGAGAGATCCAAGCATAGATCCTCATGGATCTGCTCCCAAACATTGTCAAATCATAAGTCCCATTTGTATCTATGGAATACACCACAGAAATGAAGTGCAGTGGGACAAAAACACTGATCCAAGCATGAATCTTCATGATCATGGAATCATCTCTAAGCCACTGTCCAAACTGTGGGCAGAGATGGTGCCTATGACTGAGAGTGGTTTGGGAGCGATCCTACATCAAAATCATGTGGACCCATGAGGATCTGTGTCTCAGAGCCACTTTTTTGCACGCGCACATACACACACGCACAGAGAGAGAGAGATGCGCGTGCGCATACACACACACAGGGAGGGAGAGGGAGAGGGAGAGAGAAAACTAGCACGGTGACATAAAATGGGGAACAATTTTCCATGAACTAGCACAGTGACATAAAATGGGGAACAATTTTCCATGACAACAGCTCTGTTGGTTCATAAAACCACACGTTTTAACAAACTTAAAATAAATGGCTGCTGGAAGGGGAGTTAAAAACACACGCAGAAAAATATAAGTCGCATGGGAAAAATACAGAGTTTTCTTGCATGTCATATAGACATCTTTGAAAAAAAAAAGTTAAAACTTGCTAGACCCAGTTCAAATCCTGTTTATAATGTAAATGTAGAGCCCTGAGATAGACTGAGAGGGAAGAGAAGTGATAGAGAGAATGAAGGATTGTGCTAAATGAAGTTAAAACCTAGGAATAAACAAACTAATTTTTAAACAGTTTCAACACTGTTACTTTAAAAAAAAACTTATTAGTTCTATTTAATATGAATGGCACTGAGTTCTGTGCCTGAGAGCTGGCTATGTGGAGGGTGTTACAAAGGCGTGAGTGAAGGAGCAACTATACAAACACATTCTGTAAGAGCAGCTAAAGAGGAAGAGAGGGGCTAAGAGAAGATTATTCTGTAGTTAAACATGCTTATTCTATAGCGATTTAGAGAGACCATTACCTGAACAGTCAAGTGACGAGGCAAAGGAAGGTCTGACAGTGGCATCCAAGAGAAGGGAATGTGACATGCTCCTTGAAATAGAGGCTTATCAAACCGGCCACCCCCGTTAAGATGGCAGGCTCATCGTAGCTGACAGTAAACTAGCACATTCATTTATTAACATCCTCAGAGGATATTTCATGTTTGTTTATACAAATCTGAAAAGGCTACGGATTATAAAATATCTTTTCATAAACGGAATGGCAGGAAGATTGACAAGATGTTTTCCAAAGGCATTATTATAACTGCTGGACAGCTTGAAGATTTAGGTATCTGGCTGCAGAGCTAAAGGCTGGGAGTTCAGTTTTGCTCTGTGCCTCATTGATAGGAGCTGGAGTCAATGATCCTTATGGTCCTTCCACCTCTAAAGTCCTAAGATAATTATTATGGGCACTATTAAGAAGAGAAAGCATGAGATATACAGCACAAAACAAGAAGTTAAAGTGGGTATGCAGAGTAGAAAAATTGAGCTTTTGAAAATTCTGTCACAGTCCAAAGAATAGAGCGAAGGTCAGGTTCACAGGCTATATGCAAATATGTTTTTCTATAGAAAGAAATGTTCTTCTACTTATAGAAGAAAGAAGGACAAGAAAGATGAGCTGAAATCCAGACATTACTTTCAGTTTACTCGAGCTGTTACGAAACCATTTGTACAAGACAGTTTTTTTTTTTAAAAAATTCATATCTTTAACTTTATAGCTTACATCTGTGCAAAGCAAACTCTACTGGCATTCAGTTCCTCATTGCAAGGTCCTTGCAGAAGCTATTTTCAAGCAGTGGCCACTCTAAAGCCTTAAACTATGAGTGCAAAGCAAGTATCAATAGATGGAGCACAAATACAGTAGGTCTGTCTTGAGCCTTTCTTTGCAGATGGAAACTGCAGGAACCTTAGCTATCAAAAAAATTAAAAAAAGATACTATGAGGCACCCATGTTATGACGTTTCAGGCTATATAACAGGCCAAACAACTGCCACATAACAAAATCAAAACCCAGGGTCTCACAACTTTGGGTAGTTGATAAAAGGATGCCTTAAAGTAGGGGTCCCCAACCTTTTTCA